GCTCAGTTCTCATCTGAACCATTTCTTCATGAATATCATCTGTGGCTGGGTTGTGAGTGGACTGCACTGCGAAGGTGTTTCTCCCTGTATCAAACTTCCTAGTACTCCAAGCTTTGTTGTTACGGGAGATTTTCTCAAATTTCTCAGCGATCTCAGCATAAGGGCATTCTCCATAAGATCCACCTGCTATAGTGTCCAACACCGCTTTATTGTTATCATCCTATCCCCGATAGAAGTATTCCTTCAGTGACTCATCATTAATACGGTGATTTGGGACACTTCTCAAGAATGAGGTGAATCTATCCCAAGAACTACTAACTGATTCTCCTGGTAGTGCAACAAAGTTATTCACCCTGTCTTTGTGGTTTAATTTCTTGGATACCAGATAGTAGCGTGCTAAGAAGACATCCCGTAGTTGGTTCCAAGTGAAGATGGAGTTGTATGAAAGCTCAGTAAACCACATAGCAGCCTCTCCCGTTAGTGAGAGAGGAAACACTCTGAGACCTATTACATCTAGATCCAAATCAGACCTCCCCACACAACTTTTACACACTGCCCGTACTTTAGCTATATGGGCATGTGGATCCTTAGAAGGTAGCCCTGAAAACAAACCTCTGGCAGTGAGCATTTGCATCAGACTACTAGTTACCACAAAAGTGTGGCCTGTGGGTAGAGGAGGCAAAACCAGTGGCCCATCCGAATCTGCTATGTTATCATAGCCTCTATAGTATGCTTGGGGCCGTGGAGCGGGATTCTGTCCCCTCTATTTATGTTCACTCGGAGCATTGGGTAACATCTGACCATGAACATCAGCCGGAGCTGGGATGTTCTGGTTTGGATCCTCATCATTGATTCCCAAATTACGATTCATGTTTCGCAGTGTACGCTCTAGCTCGTGATCGTAGGGAAACAACGGTTCTCTTCCTCTCCGTGTATTTGGCATACAAGGAGGATAGTGCAGAAAAGAAATCAAAAACAATAAAACAAAGTAAAATCAAGAAAATATCGACTAAACTATAGTAAGAAGTTCAAGTTAATCTAAAAGCTAAATTCCCCGGCAACGGCGCCAAAATTTGATACGCTCAAACTTACTTCTCAAATGAGAAGTAAAGCGGTCGCGTCAAGTAAATAACCCAACTAGTGAGGTTGGGATCGTTCCCACGAGGAAAATAGTCTAGACTTAACTTCAACTTGTTATTACTATTGTTCGGTTGATGACTTCCTTAAAAAGTAAAAGGATAAAAGGGGGGTTTGTATTTCCTAACGAGCAAAAATAACTAACGAACTTGAAAGAGACACTTAACAGCTTTTAATGTTGGGTTTTAATCAAGTAATCAAAGTAACTAGGGTTTATGTGTTCCCCACAGGTTCATAACTTGATAATTCTAACTATAACAATTCTTTCCTAGTATCTTGCATGCAAAGTGATAAGTTATGTATTTCTAAATCTTTGGTCCGGCATCTAGAAAATCTCACTCCGCACCTTGGTCCGGCTACGTGTGTTGCTTTCCTAACCCTTATCCTTACCTCATATTAAGCATCGTATTCGATATTTGACTAAGTTATTACCTCGTACCAATCAATACTAGCCTATTAGATAGTATACACTAAATCTACGTTAATAATTCTTTTCCTATTATCTACCTCCTTGGTCCGGCAAGTAGCATTAAGGCGAGTTCTAACGTTGATCATCCGTTAAAAAGACTTTTAGGCAAAAGAATTATTAATACATGCAAGACACGATTCTAGAATTGTTATTTTAGCTAGGGTTTATCTCATTATTTGCCTATGGTTCCCACAACCCTAGTTATGGAGTTTAGTTCCTCATAGCCATAAACACAATATTCAAATATGTTAAACAAGAATTCATGTACTTACTTCAACGAGAAAGAATAAAGTCCGAAAATTTGCTTGATTAATCACCAAAAAAAATCACTTGTAAGAATCTCTCACAATCAAACACTCAAGACACAAAGTCTCACAATATGATGTTTAATCTCACAGAGTCTAACCTCAAAAACGAGGTTTTTCGAACTATTTATAAAAAAAATAAAAACCTAATTAAACAAGGACTCTAATTACTGGAAATCTGCCAAAACGCGGTTGGGTCGACGGACCACGCGACGGACCGTCGTGGTCATGATGGACCGTCGTGGACTCCGTCATCTCATACATGGTGCAATTCTTCTGCTGCTTTCTTCATTCCCCTCGACAGCAAGTGTGACGGACCGTCATAAGCACAACGGTCTGTCGAGGGTCTCGTTTCAAAATACTTCAACTCTTGGAATCTGGATACTGGGATCACTTCTCTGATCTTCACGACGAACCTGCAGGATGGACCGTCATAGCCATGACGGACCGTCACAAGCTTCGTAATCCCACACTTGGTCAGACTTCCCCATCTTCCTTCAGCAGCTTCTCTACGCTGCCACCTACGGACCGTCACAGGTACGATGGACCGTCATAAGCTCCGTAGGTGGTCTCTTCTGCATTTTTCGCTCAAAATCTCCGCATTCAGCTTTGGACAGATTTCCCGCAAAACAAAGAGAAACTTATATCAAAATTAGCACAAAAAAGGCTTTCGGACACACTAAACTTAAGGAAAAAGTATTAATTATACCGTGAAACCACGGTATATCACCTTATAAACCCAACCACATCCAACGGGAACTTTCCCTGGAAGTAAGGTCACCAGGTCCCAAGTATGATTATCATGAAAAGCCTGTATTTCAGACTACATGGCTTCAACCCATCTGTTGTCTTTAATAGCCTCTTGATAGGAAGCAGGCTTAAGAACTGCTGAAAAAAATACCTAGATAGTGTTAATGAGATTATGACAAATTTGTATAAGAAACATAGTTAGATAAAGGATATAATGTAGAATTGGAGATAGGTTTGGTGACATAACCAGCCAACCATAGAGGAGGATTAGAAGTTCTTGTGGATTTTCTGGTAGGAAGAGAGACTGGAGTATGAATTGAATTAGGGGAGGTAGAAGCAGAAGCAACAGGATCATGTAGTAATGGATCAGGAAGTGGAGATGTAGTGATAGGAGGATGAGGATAAGAAGCTATAGAAGAATATGGATCAGATTAAACATCAGGATAAGCAAAACTATCATACACAGTATAAACATCTGTGTTAATAACCGCTTTCAATGGAAATTGGTTCTCATGAAAAATAACATCCCTATTCAAAAAGAATTTTCGTTTTGCAAGATCATATAGTATGTAACCCTTAATTTCACTGAAATATCCCATGAAAACTGCTTTCACTGCTCTAGAAGCAAACTTATCAACTTTAGGCAGAATGCTACCATAGCATAAACAACCAAAGGTCCTCAAATGTGTAAGATAATGTTTTTTGTGAAAGAAAACTTCACAAGGTGATTTATTTAAAAGTACCTTAGAAGGAAGTCTATTGATGATATATATTGTCGTAAGAATGCAATGACCCCAGAACTTGAGAGGAACACCACTCTAAAATCTAAGTGCCCTTGCAACCTCTAGTAGATACATGTGCTTCCTCTCAGCCACACCATTCTGCTGAGGTGTATTAGGACAAGTTTTATAATGCACAATTCCTAGATCTTTAAGTAGATCTTGTATCTGATCGTTACCAAATTCTCCACCATTATCTGTTCTAATTCCCTGAACTGAGGCATTAAATCGAGGAAGTACCAACTGAAAAATTGTTAGAGAACTACCAGTACATTAGTCTTGAACTTTAACCAAAAAATCCAAGTAATTCTTGAGAAGTGATATCAACAATTGTAAGAAAATACTTGTTTCCATCAAAAGTCTGAGTATTATAGGGACCCCATACATCTAAATGCAGTAAAGCAAAAGCTCTATCGGATCTAGTATCACTATTGGCAAACAGAATTCTAGTATGTTTAACCATTAGACATATTTCACATTTATCTATAACAGTCTTGCAAGCATCGACTGTATGATCATAAACCTCCTTCACCAACTTTATTGAAGCACGAGCTAATCTATTATGTCATAAAATGATATCCCTTGTATCATCACAAACTGTGACCCTCTTGGATCTACATTTTGAGCCTTCTTGTGTTGAGTCTGTGACACCATCCAATAAAGGCCATCATGTTCCTTACTATCCCCTTCAGCTTCCCATTCAAAAGGTCTCGGAATAAGAAAAATCCAGGATAGAAGGACACAAAACAGTGAAATTCTCTCGTTAACTGTGATACTGATAACGAATTATATTGGAAATTAGGAACAAACATGACATCTTTCAATTCTCTTGTATCAGTAATTCTGCTACTTCCTGTATGAGTAACTAATGTAACACCTCCATTTGGAAAATGAACTTTCCTATTATAGCCTGTTTTAACTAATTTCACATCAGTTAAATTGGTCAAGCTAGAAGACCTGCGATTAGTTGCTCCAGTATCAATTCTCCACATAAAATCTCCTATATTTTTATAGAAGTGTGTCTATGACCTGTCGTACTTGCCATATTAGCCATTACACCATGTTGTGAAGTATCATTGTTGATCATACTCAGTATGTTGTCATGTGTGCATTTGTAAGATGAGGAGCCCTTGAAATTTCTTCAGTTGTCATTTTGTCAAGTATTTCTCCTTTGTTTCTGATCCTACATGACATGTTCTGATGTTTATTCTCAGCTTGAGCATTCTAAGATGTATTCAAGTTATCCTTCTTAAATTTCCAGTTAGTTGGATATCCAATTAGCTTGAAACAATTTCTTCTCAGATGTCCTTTATTCTTGCAATAATTACATTGTAGATCCTAATTCTTCTTCCCTTTGTGAAACTCCTGTCCCAAAAATTATTGACATGTTCCCTTAAGATACTGAGAATTATCACTTCTTCTAGTCATAAGTGCTGCTAAATCAGTACCCTCTCCATTAACAGAACTGCTAGAAGAACTACCCAGGCTTCGCTGACTTTCTCTTTCAACCAGCATTGCATATGCCTTGTTCGAACTGGGAGTGGGTTTAGTTATCAAAATTTAACTTCTCGACTGATGATACGTCTCATTCAACCCCATTAAAAATTGCATCAACTTTTGTCGTAGAATATGAGCACAAAAATCCTTAGATTTAGGGCAATCACATGGTGGTGGAACAATACTGTTGAATTCATCCCAAAGATTACGTAATTTTGAGAAGTAAACAGGAATATTATCAGTTCCTTGCACTAAACTAGCTATGTCTTTATGCAATTGATAAATTCGAGAAGTATTTACATTGTCAAAGCGTTCACGAAGATCATCCCAAATTTCCTTTGCACTAGTAGCATACACAATTCCTGTATGTAATTCTGGTGTTACTGAACTCATGATACATCCCCTTACAATAGCATTACATCGATCCCATTGATGACCTAGATCTGCTCCAAAATCCTCTTTGTTCCAGGTTACATCTATAATCCCTAGTTTATTCTTTCCAAGTAATTGAATCCTCATAGCCCTGTTCCACATAGAGTAATTATCAAATCCTGATAACTGCATCGGCATAATTGGAGTTCCAGAATTATCTGAAGGATGATGAACTAAAGCATGGTTGTGATCAAATTTTGCCATTGTTGATCTATAATCCAGGATACAATGATCATTCAATTATGACCAATGCTCTGATACCATGTTAAAATTCATATACAAAGGCTAGCACTATTCATCAATGGAGAACCATAACAGAGAAAAGAGAATGAAAGATATATTTGAAAAGCATCAAAAGTATGTTTATAGTGAAGCAGTGAAACTTATTTATACACTTCTAATCACGTCACTATTCACTCATAACCGACTAACAAAAAGTTTAAATAATTCACTATACAATTACCTAACTACCCTTAACAGTTTTACATTCTAGTAATTCTATTAGATTCATTATATAGTACCCCATACCCATTCGATTACCAAAACTTCTTGTGTACTTTGTGTATTATATATTATTTTTAAAAAAAAAACAAACTATACATATAAATAACTTATTGATAACTCATTCTTCTAGCTTCTTTTTCTCTAATTTAAATATAAATTTAGAAATCCTAATTCTACCTTGGGAAAAAATTAGGGTCAACTTGAAGTCAATATTAGCAAGAACATAGATAGGAAGAAGTGTTGTGTATTAGGTTAGAATGTTAGTAGGGGTATAATGTTATCTTGCTTTGTGAATATATAGGCTTATTATTAATTAGTGCATGTCGTAGTACTAGTCGTACCCTTATAGTTCTTATTATGTGTTATTTATCATATTTCGCATGGATAGAGCTACCTTTCTCCGAGGGGTGTCAAGCAACATCCCTTTCCTAAAAAAATTACATACTATATAGATATCAAAATTTGGTTAAAAAAATATACATATTTGTGATGAAAAATGATTGCAAATACTATTTGCGATGGGTAGGTGTGGGGTGGATTGAGCTTAACCCGCACAAATGTTTACCGTACCCCACTCCGTTCACACAACAATCTTTGCCATTTCAACCCGCTTTACTCCGCATGAATTTTTAAAATATTTTTGTTTTTTCAATTAAGTTTAATACTAAAAATAAAATTTTTATAAATAAATTTATTTTCTAATTAAAGTAGTATTAATTTAATAGATAATGACTTAAATTTTTCAATTTTTTAGAGGTTAATTGTATTGAAAAATATGTAAGAAATTGTATTAGTTTTAATGTAACCATTTTCAATTACTATCTTGAATATTTTAGCAAGTTATATTAAAATTATTATTGTAATAATTTTATTTCAATGTTGAACAACTTTGAGCAATAGCAATGGCCATTACCAAATGATCACACATTTTTTGTCATAATGTAAAATAAAATCAAATTCATAAAACTGAATTTCACTCTTTTTAAATTAGAAAGCATTGATTCCCTTCTGTTTTTTTTCCGAAAGACAAGAAATCGATCAATATTACTCTTAATTGAAAATACCTTTCTAGAAATTAATTCAACTGTTAACACTAAAATATGTTATCATATAAATATATATTTAAAGAAACTTTCAATTGATAATAGTTTGAATACAAATGTATGCATTTGTTACGAGATTTGTGTATTTTTATCCGTAAAGAGTATTCTATCACTCTTATAATATCTGATAAGTATGCAGTAAAATAATTTCGCAAAAGTGTTTATGCATAGCAAAACACTATGAGATAAGGAGTGGGGATTCAGGGTAAAAGGTGGACGAGTAAGGAGGAGACAAAGAACTTGGAGTGTGTACTTACGAAACTTATTTTTTCTACTTTTATAAGAAAAGTCATTTTTTTAAAAGAAAAAATTATTATTTTAAAAAAATTAAGTATTTCTCAAAATAGATGGATTAAAATCTTCCTTAGAAAGGGTTCTGAAGAATAGTTACATAAATTAGCAAAACCACTTCCATCTTTATAATAATTATAGATAAATAAAATTGTTATATGATGCATGAAGAACAATAGATATATATTTTTTAAAAAATATATGTCACTATAAGAAGAAAATACTTGTTAATTTTATTATTAGATTTGTTGACTATATGTTTTAATTAACAAATATAAAGACATTGAAGCCATTGATTGTAGTGGATTCGATTAAAGAAATTAATTGGGTAAAAACTTATCTTTAATTTGTTTGGAATCTAAATCTATATAGATAATATAACAAGTAAAACTAATGTTATATGTTTAAGTTATTATTATACATTTACAAAAACAATTTCATAATGCTGACTTTAAAACAATGGGACTCCAATAAAGCTATATATCATTTCATTTTCCTATTTTGGAAATATATTTCTTTTTCATTAGTTGGTATATATCTCAGTCGTTTAGATAGAAATGTTGGTCCCATGAATAAAACAAGAAGAGAAGAACATTTAAAGGAAAAAAAACAACCAAAAAAGGATTTTTAATTGTATAAATCTTTTAATGGGTTGATTACTACTAGTCAAATAATACTTTGTCCGTTTATTTTTATTTGTTATTGTTTAATATAGCATACTTATTATGAAAATAATTATTGGTATAAGTATGTTTATTACACTATAATCCCTCTTAATTGATGTGTAGTATTAATTGTATTCAATAATAAGGATAAAAATATGAAAAATGATAATTGTATTTTCTTAATATGTTAAAAATGATAACAAGTAAAATGAAAATATATTTTAGGAATAAATAACAATTAAAAATGAATAAAATGAGTATTAAATTTATTATATCTAGTTGTATTTTCGATTAATATCAGTATATCGTTATGTTGCTCTTATTTTTACTGAAACTTTTACATAGTGACAACCTATACATAGCAATGATAGATAGAAATGTCAATTGCATGCATGTAATGATCTATACAAATATTTAATTTATTTCTTAGGGTAAAAAATTAATGTGAATATTTCTTATATTTAGTCAAAAAAAAAGAATGAAGGATTAGACGAGAAAGAGGTATGTCAAGGGATGGTGGCAAAGGAATTTGTCTGATGAAAATATTGAATTGAGAAGGGAAGACAAATTGGGGAAGATGATGCCAGAAATTTTTTAATTTCTCTTTTATATGTTTAAGTTATAAATTTTTCTGTTAGAAAAAAAAGTTGATTTTTTTCTAATGTTGACATCTCCATTTTGATTGGTCTGCCAAAATAAGTTTCTGGCTTCACGCGTTGCCTTAGACCTGTAATACATTCATGATGTCATCTCACTGAAAAGTATTTAATAGGTATATGTTTAAATAGTAAAGGTGCTCAATAGGTATACTATTAAATTGAGGTGTCTAAATGCGGACAACTTTAAGGGTCTGCAGATGACTTTAGCCAATTAGTAATGAGATGGTTTAAATGAATGCATTAACATGGTTAAAGACTCAATTGTCCCTCCAATATCTTTTACATCTTTTTCACTATAATTGTAGAGTATCTTTGTATATAATTTTTATGCAATACATGTTGTTTTAATGCATACCAAGCCATGTATTAAAATAATTTACGTATAATTCGCAAGAGAGTTCTTCTCTTCCCGTAGGGCTTTGAGTCTGAGTCTGAGCTCTGCTTTTCTGAGTGGAGTGTCTGTTGAAAGTTTTTTCTAGAACCTTATAAGGAGTGCCTTGCGCTCCTATATAAATTTAATGCAAACATAACTAATTCAAGCATTATTAATGCAAACATTATTAATTTACCCTATTTAATATTATTCTTATATACTTTACCAAATGACCCCTTAGTAATACACACCTTTATACACAATATTGTCTAACTAATGCAAGCTATACATAGCATAAAAATTGTAGCAAGCAAGGTATTGTTCATACACAAAACTAATACATATATTATTTTTGTTGATACATTCTACCAAACGACTTGTAAGTGTAGAAAATAAAAAGGTGTGTATTATAGTCAATTACTCCTTGTAAATTGATATGTAAAATGTCTTTGCCGTAGTACATTTCTCCACACTTACTAATTATATTTTAAAAAATTTGTATTTTCTTTTGTAAAAAAAAACAAACTAAACAAATAAGTTTATAGATTCAACCCACATGTATTTTATAAAATATAAAAATTAAATTAACAATTAAATCATCATCAACATTTTATATATAATGACAAATTAACAAATCAAATTAAATATTATTAATCACACTTTGATTTAATTGTGTCGTGTAGCGAACTGTTTGCCAGTCACCTCTCTCCCTCAAACTCTCACTCGCCACACTCCCTCTTTCGCTCGCCACCCTCGTCTCTATCGCTTATACAAACAGAAAGGAAATGTATAAATTGTGTTTTTGTTTGTATAAAGCGAGAGAAAATTGTATATACACATGAAAGTACGTATATCTTTGTCCTATACTCTTATAATTATATAATATTAAAATTCCCCTGCGCAATTTTCTTTTGTTTTTCTTTCTTTCTCATTTTAATACATACACAAATTATATAATTTATTTATATACAACTGCTTTCTTTTGTATATGTATAACGAATTATACAATTGGTTCTTTGTATATGTATGGCAAATTATACATATTTTGTTTGCTATGGAGTGCAATTATGCAAACTTTGCTATAGCAAACAAATATGAATTTTGTGTTTGTTATATGTGCAAGTTGCTCTACAAAATATTTGTCACGTTAAATAAAATATACAACTTATTTTTAAAAGTATTTTATCTTTATTTTAAAAAATACTAACTATTCTATTAGGATCTTTTTTGAAGCTCTTTCAACTTTCATGGCAAAATGAGTATGTTAGAATGTATTATGAGTTCACCAGTGATAACTGAATCAGGTCACTCAATAAAATAATAATATGAAAAATAAATAATAACTCAAAGTAAATCAAACACAATAATTTTACATGAAATCTCTTTACTCAAGGAATATGAAACCACGACGTGAGTATTTATCTACAATTATTTAGAGATCTTAGCAACAGTTAGATGTTAGGGGTTGATATTTCAGAACCAGCATTGACCAAAATATACATTCATTTTGTGTTTATGCTTTCATGGAAATATGTTGATTGCTAAGAGACTGAATAAATGGAAAATGTGTTATCTCCTGTATGAAAGTAGATTCTACTTGTGTGTTAGT